AAAACATCCCTGGGTCATCTCTGCAATTATTTTTGTATTTGCCTGCAAGGGTCACCAACATTTGCACTAATCATAACGTCCCAGCTGTTCTGCTTCCACATAGCTGTTTTTAATTGTGCTGCCTAAACTTGTAATGAGCTGTACTTAAGATTGAGGTGAAGTGTAAAAGACGTACCTAATAACGACACATTTATTGTATTTTTTTGTATGTCACAGATAGGACTAGTCCTATGCACACAGAAAACATGTTGCCATTTATAGTTTAATACTTGAAGTAACTTTTTTAAATGGGCTTTTATAAATGAACTAAATATAAAATCACTTTGCCTGGAAGTTCCTTCATGTTTTAATTGTACTGTGCAATTTCCCAGTATGTATACTGTTCCATAAAAATGTTATCTTAAGCCATTTATAACCACTGAAAGTGCATTCAAGATTTTGTACATCAGTGTTCAGAGCCGTTCATACTTCTCTGAAGTACAGTTCATGTTTAAAGTTGTACCGTTTTAGGCCTCTTTTCCAGAACAGTAAAATACAAATGGATTTGACACCTTAAATCATCAGCAAATGCAACATCAACTTAATAAAAGTATGTGAAAGAACCTGAAAACTGCTTACCTGTTGCATGTGTGTGTTAGACCAGTGAGAAAAACTGCCTACCTGGGCAACGTTTTTGTAACTGTTCCACAGTTCTTACACCCCAGCTGCAACAAACCTCACACACTCACTCTTGACACATCTTCCAGGTCACTTGATCTTGAGAAGTAACAAAAACCTCTGACTTGTGGCTGACTATATTCCTTCAGGACACTAAGCATGACTTAGAAATCAGACTGCCACTCAAACAGGAATCAGCTGTCAGATCAGAAATAATCTCTGTCAGAGAGGGCAGTAACACCCAAGTCAACACTGACAATGACACTGGCATTTAAATTCAACAATTCTTTCCAGAAAGCTTAAAAAAAAAAAAAAAATGGAACATTTTACAATCTTCTGTGAGTTCCAGCTTTATACACCTAATTCTAGTTCATCTTGGTCCTTGTGCACCTCATGAAGCGAGCAGTACCTAAGCAGCGTCCGTTGGGTCTCCAGTATGGATGTGTACAGTACCCCTTCAGAAGGGAGCGTGACCGCCAAGAGCCATCTGGTCAGTACCGGCAGATAATCCCGTTCAACAGAGCGGGCGTGTTCTCCTAGCTTTCAAAAGGCAATTAGTGAAGCCATAAATCTAATTCAGATCATCACCATTGCACTCGGTAACTCGTGCTGCATTATGCAAAACCCCCGAAGAACAGAAGGCAGGCAGATGGCAGAGAGCCACAGAAAGACACGTCTTTTTCTAAAGAAACGATAATAAGAAAACATAGGCTGTTCTGCAGGACAAGTACTTTTAATGTAAGATTGTATACACTGTAGCAAAGTCTCACTTGTCATCTACCCTTATTATAGTGAATTACAAAACTCCCATAATAGGTACAACAGCAGATCCCGCGGTAGAGCGTAATACATGCCAAATATAAATACGCCGTTCTTATTCAAGATGTCCACTTTTTTGACACATTTAAGTGGTTTAAATGATCGGCCATATATCTATGCTCAGGAAACTTGGCTTTCATCTGGCTTTTGAAAGCTTCCCATTTTGCACGTCTCTCTTCTGTGTTATGCTTGTACTCCTGTTCCCGTGTCAGGTAAGGTCGACTCAGCCAATATTCATTCTCTGCTTCAATTTCCAACCTTCGGATCATCGCTTGCTTCATTGAAAGGGTAACCACTCTTGGTCGCCTGTATTTTCCAATCCATTGTTTTCCAGGAATTCTCTTTCGGAGTAATACTGTTGTTAAAAACATGATGCCTTATAAAATATAGACAAAAATATAAAAAACTCATTATATTAGGGACAAAATATAAAAACATAACAAGAAAAATGAAAAATCTGCACATACTTACTCCACTGCCTTTTATCTGGCTGTTTTGAAGTTTGAAGTTCAGAACCTGATACTCACAGCCAAGCATTATGTACAGTAGACAGTACAATGACAGACAGATTGGAAACTTAAGACCAGAAAAGGGAAATGGAAATCTTTATATAGCTAAATAGTTTACTCAGTTATCCTTACATTGAGATTAAAGCATGTTCTCCATAAATTATTTATGAAAAATCCGGTCCCAGATACTATTAAATAAAGGATTCACTTAATCCGTTCCTTCTTCAAATAGCTGTGTTCTCAAAACAGGGAGTATTTCCAGGTCTATCTTCCAGATCCAGGTCCGACCTTTCCTCAGTATTAAGTTTTGAACCACAGTCTCTCCTTAAACTTATTAGTATATACAATTACCTAGTCTTGTATTTCAACTATGGCAAATCTGGGTTGCAGAGGAAAACAATCTATTAGACCAACTAGCGTATGCAGAAAGCACAGAGTTTCCCACACAATACGCAGGTTTAACACAGAGGCACGAAAAGCCAAGCTACGTTTAGATTTGACACACATGTTCTTCATTAACTGCTGTATTAGTCCTGAACATGCCTAACTCCTCGGTCTCTCATTACACAGTATTTTCATCAACCCGTGAGTGAGCCAAGCGCTCTAACACGGCACAAGCCAGCACTACTGCTGAGACCAGCCACCCCAGTATACACCATTCCCACGGGGCAACTGCACGTCTCTGTTCCACTCTCTGACCCCCCTTAGATTAACAATTTTAATCCTTCCTGCACTGAAGTACAGACTGTTAGGGTTAAAAGCAGGGTTTAAAACAGTAGTATATCCTGGTTGTACAATTCTGCATAAATAAACTCTGAAGCAGTACCAGTTGCTCTGAAATTCCTACCAGGAAATTAAATGGACATAAATAATATAGAAGAAATAAAAAAAAAAAAAGATGCATTTTATCCAGTTATACTTTATTATGTAAAATTATGCAAGGTGATAGTAGACTTGTAAAAATGAAATTTTGGATATTCTAACTTTTGGAATTCCATGTTCATTCCGTCATTGGACTACATTCACATAGTCTACATGAGGTATGAGTCTCCATTTTCACCATTTTGTGATCTATTTTTCATAATGATTACTTTTAATAGCAGTTGATGACAGTTTTGAAGGTTAATACTGTTAGAGGAAGATACGTCGTGCTGGATCCAACAGCCCAAGAGGGGCAGAGCTGCTGCCACTCCATGCCCCCAGGTCCAAGCCAGCAGCAAGGCTGAAGGTGTGTTCCCAGCAGGCACATGCGCACAGAGGGCACATACACACCATGTATACACATATATAAGTGGGCAGTGGCACAGAGCACAGACACTCAGAGCACTCACACGAAAAACAACTGATCAGTGTACTGACCAGCTCACTATTCAGACCTTTTATGCCCCTAACCCTTTGTGTTCCCACACCTGTTCCTCCCCAAATAACCTGAATGCCTCCCAAAGGTTCCTCCCCGAAATATCCCATAACAAGTCCCGTGCAATCCCAAACTGCTTTTCCTCTGCATCCCATAATGTGTCCCACACTGTAGTGATGGTCCTGGGAGCAGCCATCAGGGTATTGCTTGGGCTCCCCCTCCTGCCATTGTCTCTCTGAGCTCCTTCCTGGGTCTGTCGGTGAGCTTTATTACGGGGGAAACTGGGATGAATGAGGAATGGCATTCTTGTTTCTACTCTTTTTCATGGGTTGAGACAAGGCAACGTATTTGCAGGGCTTGTTCCCTCTCTGCACAGATAGCTCAAGCTTCTAATTGGTTTTATTGCTGTGCTCTCCCCCTCCTGCCATTGTCTCTCTGAGCTCCTTCCTGGGTCTGTCGGTGAGCTTTATTACGGGGGAAACTGGGATGAATGAGGAATGGCATTCTTGTTTCTACTCTTTTTCATGGGTTGAGACAAGGCAACGTATTTGCAGGGCTTGTTCCCTCTCTGCACAGATAGCTCAAGCTTCTAATTGGTTTTATTGCTGTGCTGTCTTGTCACATAGCAGGTGTCCTCTTTTACACTATTTGCATTAACCTTGATTTCCAGTGAAAGAAGTAATGACTGCTGCATGTGTGAGTGAACAATGCTAACATCTGCCCATGTGCAAATAAGGTGGAAGAATTCAGCTTTTTATTGATTTATGTTTTTCACTGGTGTCTAGATCACTTTTTTTCCCAATTTTTATTATTTTAAGTTCAAGCTCTTTAAGGATAAAAATCTAGCATAAATAATCCTTCATAGACTAGGGACCGACCTATTGTACCAACATCTGCTATGCATTAATTTTTACAGTATTAGCTGCCTAACTGCAGGGAAGCCCCTGCAGTTTCTCTGTATAATTTATCACACTGTGCAAATTGCGGTCTCATGCTGTGCAAGGTACCCAATGTGAACTAGTTTCTCTTTGGTTTTCTCTATCTCTATTCCCTCTTTCTAATATATGACTTCAACATCTCTAATACAGGAGATCACGTTCAGATGTAGAATGCACTTGTATGCTGAAATACTAATACCCCATTTTTGTTTCCAAACCATTTTATGTGAACATGTGTATCAAAGACTATGAAGATGAATCTCCAGTAAGAGTTTTACATGACCTCCACTGTGAAATCAGGACTCTGAAGGTAATGTCTTAACTCGCTTTCTTCTTGAAAAAGTGGAGAGGGGATGTTCCATAAACTTACAGTTCTATTTTGATCATTAAGCCACAATACAGCTTTATTAGTCAGCAGTTCAGACCCTTATTTTTATTCATTTACCTCTTAAGTCCTCACAATGGCTGTGGATGTCAAGGTAGTGCCCAAAAACTTGTGGATGACTTAAAGTAGATCTAGCAGCGTTTATTAGTTTGCAATCACTGATGTCGCTCAGCTCAGCAGGGGACAAAGATAATGGGGAAGTTGTAGCTGTGCCAAGGTGTAGGGGAGAAGGATTCAGGAGCAGCAGCTCGCTACAGAAGATGTGTGCTTGTTTATGTTCAATGATAAACACTTAGAATAAAGAAAATCTTCACAGAATTTTCAGTACCTTCAGCCATTCAAGTTAAACTTGTGAAGAATGTTCTTTATTTCTTTAATAGAAGTCGGTAAAATGAGCTAAAGAAATGAGCAAGTCTAGAAATAATTGAGGGGTGAGCTAGGATATAAGCTTGAGGTTTACCATCTGCACTAATTCTTTGTACGAAGGGAATAAGAGTCCAAGCTAATTGCTGTTATCTCTTATTTTTACAAGTACAAGCATATATTTGTGTTTGAGAGGTTGCCAGTAAGTATCATACTGTGAACTGTCAGTTTAGTTTAACTTTTGTAAGTTTTTGTACACTCATACCCTGTATATTTTCTGGTACTCTGTAACCTAGTTTTCAGGTATAGATCAGACCTAAATTTGCTGCTTATCCTCATCTGAATTGAAGTTCCCAAAGTACTTCATGTGTAAACAACTACCATGTGGTGATTTGAAAACTAGTATTTCTATGTTTCTCTCCACCCCCAAAGGAAGATGTTAATGCCAGTCTTAGTAAGAGTTGCTCTGAAAAACAAGCAATTCATGACTTCATGAAGGCAAGTGAAATACTGATGCAAAGAAATGCAGCAGATCTTGGAAAAATAAGAGACCTGTTCCAGAAATATGGCTACAAACCACGTGTCAAAGACTCTACAGGTAATATTTCTTGTCAGTACAGTATGTGAAGACAGATGTACTTTTCTAAAATGTTTCTCTAGCTATGTGTATATTTCTGTTAATTAAGAGGTCGAGTACATCTATGTTACTTGCTTTATAATAATATCCAGAGGGTAAAAGATTCTCTTGTGATTGGTGCCATAAGAATAAACCAAATACAAAAACGTAGTTCGTTCTCCTGGCATGCTTTTAAGTTAGTGTGTGTGGGTGTTTTCTCCAGTAATAGTTATATTCCAAAAATATGTTTGCTATCATGTTTTCATAACCCAGAGAACTATGCTGCTTCAGCTTCTAATGCATAGGAAACTATTGTAGGTGCATCTAAATTAGTTTGTGTTCATATGCGGTGATTCCATTAACTTAAATCACCATAGATAAAATCTTAAAATAATGTGCTCCATAGCACAAATGGGATAAAAGAAGCACTTATGGGGATCGGGTGACACTGGCAATCTATGAAGCAGTAGTGTCCTAATCATTGGAGGGGAGGAGATCCTTAATCCAGACAGAAAGTGCACACGCACCTGTGTGAAAAATCCAGATGTGCCAAGTGAATTTAAAATACTACAACTGTCAGTACTACACGTACTTTTTTCAGTATCAAGAGCCCAATCAATTGTCAAGAAGCCTTTGGCAGGGCACACCTTAACCTTGCACTGAGCATTATCCAGTCATTACACAAAACAAAACTGTAGTTGTGGACCCTATTCACATCGGAGTTAAGCTACTACAACTGTTTTACAAAGATATGGCAGAAGGCTCTGATTTTCTAACAGCTTCCTTTCTGTCCTCTCTCTGCCTTTAAAGAAGACTCTAAACAGAGCTACAAGTTAATTTAATTCTTAAGATGTGTATTTAAGCTAAGTTTATCTGAGTATGTAATACCAATACACATAAAAAGGTAATGCCTCTACCATATTATTCTAAATAGCCTTTTTTCCCCCACTCTGCTTCTTACATCATTCAGAAATTCACAAATATGTTGGAGTGTTTCAGTTTATTTAACTACGGAAGTGTACAAATCACACATTTGGTTATTTCTGCAGTAGACTCTTCTTGTCATCTAAAAAGCTACCCTCTTTCGTGAGTTTTTTAGCTGCTGCTTCATAACCTTTCTTCAATACTGTTTTTCTGAAGAAAGAGCATTCTAGTACTGTGTGGCAGCCTTTGCTCTTTCCCCAAAAAAATTTTTCCATTCTAGACAAATTTTGTTTTCATTGTCATTTATGTTGTACATTTTTAATGAATTTTCACTCTTGCACTGAAATAAAAACACCTAAATGTATTTAAGATTAGCACTTCTTGCCTGCTGATTGCAGGGAGATGAATTCTATTAAAAATCTTTCAATTTCAGTTTTCCTAGAAATATTTACCAATAGAGTGAAATTCAGTAAATGTGTGACCTATATTATAAATATAGCTTAGCCTGATACGAGCTTTCAATATCTGTTGTAGCTTCAGTGTTTTAAAATGAAAGAAGCTTAAACCAGAAACTTCTGACATAACTTTTTTTTTTATTATTATTACTTTTCTCAAACAGCAGAGGAAGAAGTTAACAGTGATTCGACAGTGTCTGTCCAGAATAAATCCGATGAAGAAAAAACCGATGATGTTCCTCCTCTTCCTGCTTGTACTGAGAAGCCACTGGTGCCCAAAGACCCACTGCGTAACCCCCAGCTTTCTGATTTTGGTCTTTCACAATACGCTTTCTCCAGGCCCTGGAGTGCAGTGAAAGGACAATACACAACAAATGCATATCAAGAAAATTTAAAGAACGGGACTCCACTAAAAACACAGACCCCCCGTATGTTGCCCAGAACACCAAAATGCATGCTAAAGATGGACGATTATGAGTGTGTAACACCAAAACTTGAACACTTTGGCATTAGTGAACATACTATGTGTATGAACGAAGATTATACGATGTCGCTTATTCGTAAAACAGCTCAGGCAAGCAAGGAGTGAGTAAATTATTTAACTTCCAATTGTTTCTCTACAGAATTTTCTGTAGCTTCTTCTTGCTCTACTAATTTCTTGCTGCTATTGCCTTTCTCTTTTTCTTCAAGCAGGTGATATGCTATTATCTACCAGCTGGTTAGTCCCGTGTCTTTATTCAACTCTCTACATGTCTTTTCACATACCTTTTGCAGTGCCAGACGCTGCCATGAAAACACGTCTCTGATACACTCCTTCCCTTGACTGCAACACCATAAGAATCTTCCATACACAATCTCTTTACAAGGGAAAATGCACAGTATATCTGGGATCTTTTGCTTTCCTTAATCTGGGGTTTGGATATTGTCTGCAGTAGATATTGCATAGCCAATTTAAAGGTTTCAAAAGCTTTAGGAATATAGACCCGGAAAAAACTTCTAAAGCATTCAGTAAAATGCCTCATTGTAGAAACAGCGTATTATCTCTTATGTTACCAAGCCCCACCTTACAAACAATTGCTCTTTTTGCTCCAGTCTGCTGTTGAAAAGACCTCTCCAGATTTTCACTGATCTAATTAAAATTAAAGAAAAGAATTTTGCAGCAGTGAGGTGTAAAACACCATAGCAGTAGAAGTATTTTTCTTTACTTCAAAGATGATGTTTCTATAGTTAGTATTAGCAACATATTAAACTTTAAAGCTGACAGTATTTAAAAGAAACTCGCCATTCTGCAGCTAAATATTTAGTATTTAGAGAAATTATTGAAAAACAAAGAACCATTTTTAATTTTAAGATCACTGGGGGTAAAGTGAAAGTGAAAAGATTTTCTTTTGAAATAGTTTTGGGATCTCCTTTTGAATGGTTATGTAAATACTATAATGTATATAAAGCTTTATAGTATTGGAATTGTAATAACAGGAAAACTGTTACTGAATCCTGAAAGATATTAATTCAAAAATTGTTCCCTCTCAAATAACGTTTTTAAAATAGTTTCAGCTTATCACACAATTTAAGTTCTTTTGATATCAATAACTTTTTGTGGGTTTGTACTATTTTTCCTATTTAATGAGAACTGTTTTAAATGTGACCTTCAGCTTTAATTATGGCTGCAATTTATAAATTGATACCTCCACAAGTGCAGATTCTGTTTCTGTGCCTTCTAGTGAAATGATTAGACAGTCCACTATTGATATTTATATATAATTAAAGGAAAAAAAACCAATCACACTAGCAGTCTGCCATGCCCCTAATGATGATGATAAAATTCTGTTGAAAATTAGTTACACCATGGATGCTCTTTAAGATATCATCAATATTAATGACCAAAACAGATGGACACAGGCCAACTGTGACTAAAGTTAAAGCTGTGTATGGATTCAGAATTAGTGGCATATGCGAGAGGTCATGACATTAAGTCATTAGAGTTAAAATGTTTAACTAATAGATTTTTTTTTTTAAGCTTAAGTTTTTGTGGAGAAGCTCTGTATCTGTTTCTGATGGTTAAGATAAATTTCTAAACATTTAAAATAATTTTCTTATAGACAGATTCTTTGTAGAGTTTAGCTAAGCTTCCAATTTTTTCTGGTACTGTCTCTTAACTGCCTATACCCTTCTTCCACTAGAATATCTTGGATATGAAAAAAGAATTTTAAAGATTTCAGTTTCAAGTTTTGTGGAATTGATATTAGATAGCTTTTCAATCTTAAGTCGGCTCGTGATTAACACAAGTAATCTTATTCAAACTTAAACGAAATGTTTATTTCATTAAAAATCTTTTAGTGTTCACAATAATGTTAGTAGGTTAAGAGCCAAAAAGAATTCCTCTTGTTTAGAATTTTGTAGGCAACAGGCAGTTGAAAATAATATACAATACTCCTAACACAGAATTGATCATCTGGGACAAAGAAAATTGAGCCTACACCTTTTTGTTGTTGTTTCATATGGGGGGTTTTATGCCTCGGATTGACATCTCAGTGTACTTGATAATTTGTAGGTGGACTGACCATTTGCATGCTACAAAATGCTGCAGTAGAATCCTAGATTGAAAGTCTATGAAAAAAAAAAAATCTTTGAGGAAATGAATTTTTGAATTGCATGTTGATGAACAAATACTAGAAAAGTGATCAGATGGACAGTATTATTTTAATTGTGATTTTTTTTCATATTACTTGGAGAGCTAATTGAAGGGTTTGGTTTTCAGGTTTGTTAAAAAAGATGATCATGCAGTGAGTGTACGAGAAATGACACCCAGGGAAATCATGGTTACTCCTGGGCCAAAACCAAAAGTGACAGCTGAGAACGGTAAGATAAAAATATGTGAAATAAATATACATAAGCATCTTTACGTAATGCATGTGTAAATGCATTGTAAACCCATGGTAAACTTATAAACTGTGTTTCCTGTTAAATGTAGTTAATTCAGGCCCAGTCATTGTATGAGTACTAATGGCTAGAAAATGAGATGTTGGTGGCTTCCATGGAAAAGTTTCTCACTTCAGTATAAATCTTTGCTCATTCTTCTACTCGTATCCATCCTTATCTGAATAAAAATACTGTTTTGCCACCTTAGTCTTTTTTATTCTGAGAATACCCATTAGATCTGTTTAAAGATAGGAAAGAAACTTCTTTGAAAGAGGCTAACAAGACAGTGACTTAGATCTTTCAAAAGTAGTGCTAAAACTTCTTTGAGAGGAGATGTAGTATGTTCTCTTGAAAATGCGTGAAGACCTTGGGACAAACATAGTGACAACTGAATATATGAGAAGATAAACCAATGTGGATTTAAGTTGGGCTTTTTCATTTATATTCAGTAGTGTGACTAGATTTTTTTTTTCTTTTTTATTTTGCATTGTGTATGTATTTATTTTTATTCTCCTCCTCCCTCTTGTTTAATTTCAGCAGCTGACTGGATGGCTTCTCCTATGGTACTTGTATTCTGTACTCCTGATGTGAAAATCCCTTCCAGAACAAACAGAACAGTATTATCAAGGTCACTGGAGACAAATGAACTGCCTCTTCCCAGCCATGCACAAACACCACAGTTTCCAGATTTTGAAACAAGATGGCTAAAAACAGAAGCTAAGATAGTAAGTAGCAATTATGTACATTTTCGCACGTTTTTACTCTAAGTGTTTTTCAAATGTCAGTTTGGGTTTCTTTTCCAATACTGCTTTTTCTTATGTCATTGTAGAAGATCTTTCTAACTATAATTTTGTAAGAACATCTATTAAATACTGTACCTAAGATGAGTAAATTAACTGAAGGCATTTAATACCTCTCTTGCAGCAGGTAAAGCAGGGGGAAAAAACGGAGTCAGTGACATCGAATGATGCAGCAGATAAAAAACATGTAGAAGATAGCATTCCTTTTGCTGTGAGCTCTAATGAGTATCTTAAACATTTTGGAGACCCTTCTCCTCCCAGAATAAAACACTATGACCAGTTACTTGATACTCCTCCACCTCCAGAAATAACAAGGATACCAGATGATGTTCGACAGGTCAGCTAATATACCTTTTTATCTAAATAGTTTTGATATTTTAATAGTAAAATTTAAAGGGCTTAATTCTATCAAATTTTGTTCTTCAAAAAGAAAGTTCTCTGCTACTTACTAAAAATGTATAAACTGTAATCCTGTTTTGAGTTCTTAAATAATTCTTTTTATTACCTTTTAATGTTTCCTGTAGATTCTGTCCAAGTATAATCATAAAGTAGACTCTTCTAAAGCCAAGGAAATGGAAACCAAGGCAGGAAATACTACAAGATACGAAACTGGTTTCACCAATTACTGCAACAAAGAGAATAGGTATGATTAAATTTTACAAATTTGGTTAAGTAACTTAATTTGGAGGAGCTATGAAGATGCTTTAACGCATTTAGAAATTCACGCAGCTGCTTGCTCTTCAGCTACCACAATAGCTCTTGTTTGCTGTGACTAAATAACTGTTCTTTGGCATGGTATCTGGATGCCTTTATTGTAAAGAACAAGTATTGATTGTGTGTTTGAATCCCCCTCAACTTTAAAAAAAAAAAAAGTGTTTTATCTGTAGGTATGTTTTGCTTTGTGGCAATCAAAGCATCAGTGAATGCTTTCCTCTGAGTAAATTGAGGCAGTAAAACTAAGGAACTAGAGAAAACTGTATAATTGACACAACTGATTTCATGGTCGTTTTGGCAAAGACAAAGTTCTTTTGAAACGCAAAGCTACTTTATGAACAGTATGTGAGATGAAATTAGTCTACAGTAAGTATGAGTAATCTTCGAACAATGGAATAATAGTTTTAAAAAGAACTTGATCAATTTAAATAGAAAGAAGTTTTTGTGACAACTTGATCAGTGTAGATATTCCTGATTTGATGTTATGTATATTACACTTGTTGATTATCTGTTAAATTTGAGGTCAGTACAAATTACTTTGGCGAGAAGTTCAAGCAACATGTACGGAGTCAAATAATAATCACAACAACCCAGAATGAGACTGATAAAAGTAGGTATCTTAATATACTTGGAGTTGGAATCCATTTGAGTAATCAAATAGAGCAAAGCTCTTCAGCTGACCCTTCTTTTTTTTCTTGTCAAGATAATTAAAAAATAAAGTTTTCAATGTTTGTCTTCTGCTAATTCAAAATATGATTGAGATAATAAGTTCATGAACTCTTCTGGATATATTTGCAGAGGATATCCTGGATTTTTCAAGCCGAATGTCTGAAATCAAGATGAAGACCATGTTGAGACTGTTTCACATTCATGGATCTTATCACTGAATCATAATAAACTCAAAAAGCAGAAGCAAAAATTTGTGGGAGGGAAGAGCCATACAAAGGAAAAGCTTTTTTTAATGGAGAAAGTTTATGTGAATAAGCTTGTTTGAACTAACAACTTGTGCTTGGCAAAATACATTGGGGGGGTTTTAAATATGTATATGCTTCAAAGAGGACTGGGGTCATGTACAAGGTAGTACTTCAGTTGTTTCACCTGATTCTTGTGTGTGTTGTGTATGCTTGCATTTGCAGTAGGCTGTGGAGAAGTGTAGTTAGGTTGCAGTAAAGAGAAAGTCCAGTATATTGCCCCAGACAGTGGGTGTATCTGGCTGTTCTGGTGACACTGTGAATCTTTTCAGGGCCGAGTTTCAAGTGTAATACTTCAACAGTATTTGGTGTCTTCAACAGAAACAAGTCGTCTTTTATGTGAAGAGTAACTCCTGCTTTACTGTTCAAAGCACTTCTATGCAATTAGTCACTTCTGCAATACTCAGGCGTATCGCACACATTGCTGCATCAGGCTCTCTGTTACCTATCTCATGGACAGGTATTTCTTATGCTGCTTCTTTGTCATCGTTTTCTTGCATCGACAGTGTATTAGGTGCTATACATCTGGTTTCCTTTTGACAGTCTAACCTCTGTAGCCTGATTTGAATAAGAATTATTTGAAAATACATTATGCAATCAGTACTTACATATATCAACTGCTGGAAAGGTTTGCTAGCAGGCGTGTAGGTGATTGCTTACTCTCCTGTGCTGCTGCCATGTGCATTCTGTAAGTGGTGGTGTCACTTTCTAAACATGCGCATCGATCCCTGTAATAGCTGACTAAGCATACAGTCTCAGAGCCGTTGGGCACTTTTTTGATATCTGGTAGTCATACTAATTAGGATGTCTTTTTCTACCAGATTTTACTTTTGTCCACAAGAAATCCTAGCTACATATCCTTGTTTGGAGCCAGTTTGCTGTTTCCAGTGTCAGCTGTTTCTCTGAGTGACTCCAGGACTGCTCTTACTAGCTGTATGTGGTCTTCCTGGTGAACACAGCTCCACAGTATTTTTTTTTTTTTTCAGTCATCAGGATATGCAAACATCTAGAGATGCCCAGAAGTATTTCTCCAGTTGCTTAGACAGACTTGTCCTGGCTAAAACCTAGCAAGTAGAAGTGATTTTTTTCTTTTTTTTTTTTTTTTTTTTTCCTTCCCCTGCTGTTCCAGTCATTTTCTGGGATAAGCCTACATAAAATTAACCAGAGAAGCTAACTTTGTCATTTCCCTATGCTAGTTTCTGTTTAAGAATATGTATGTATTATTATGTGTCAGTCTTTGAGCTTGATCAACACTTTTGAATACTAAATAAATCTGTCTCAGATGCTTGGCGGCTGCTTGGAAAACTAATCGTTTGCTGCTATAAAAGCACTTATTTGTTCTACCCAACTCCTTCAGAGACTGAAGGTCAGACCTGCTTCCAGCATCTTCACAGACTTAAAACCACTTAATGGGCTGGATGGTCTTAAAAAGGTTCAAAGTACTCTACTGCAGAACAAGAATATTTCGGCCAGATTTATCAGCACTAAGCAGGAGGGGTTTCACAGCCTGCGTTTTCCCTCCACAGCACTTTGTGGCTACTTTCTTGCCCTGAAGCAAGAATCCTGAAAGACTCCATTTAACATGAAATGGAACAAGCAGCACTACTGTCCTGGACCTTGCTGTACCCTCCCCCCACCCCTTCAATTAATGAAATTCCCCAAAGGGCTTATAAATGTATTTTCCCTAAACTCGAGAACAACTCTGTGCTCAACTGTCCTTTCTTCTGTTTGGGAACTGTAGAGCTGTACCTCGCAGTGCTGGGGTTCTCACTATAAGCCACTTGCATCATTTTTCTTTCCTATTAAACAATGTTTTCTGCTGCATTTCATAGCTATTTCATTAACTAATATAAAAGGGATTCAATATTTTGAATACAAATTATCTTCAAGATGACAAAATCTGGTCTCAAACTATTATGACATGATGCTGGCATGAGACTTTTTTGGAGTCTAGAAATGAAGTATTACTAGTTAGTTGTGTTGTTCTTGCCTATGATATTCTAATACAAGTAATATTGCTGTTTGTACCTATATGCTTCTTTATAGTAGGACCATTGCTCTGAGGTGGATATAATCAGCGCACCAAAACAAAAACTAGTTTTGGTTTGTTGTACTTTACCTTTGAAAACCTGCTAGGTTTCAGTAAGGCCTAAGCAGTAGTTTGAGTGCTGGGGGTGGGGGAGGGAAAAGTTGGCAGAAGTGAAAGCATAAGCAGTGCTGGAAACTGAGCTGTGGTCAAAATAAGCTGGGGAGGGAAAGGTTTGTGTTTGGGGTTTTTTTTTTTTCCTGCTCAGATCAATTTTCTCATGCAGGTGGCTGTGTTGCCATCTGACAAGCTGCACAACTTCAAATACTGGAACACCCAAGGATGTAGCCAGGGGGCTGGAGAAGGGTAAAACTCCACTTAAGCCAGTATGGCTGCTGAAGAAAGGCTCGTCCCACTGTGCTCTGAAGTAATGTCACATGTCAGAGTGGGAATAATGCAAAAGCACTTAAAAGTTACATGTTGGTTTGTTGTAGGGTGAATCAGCATTGGCCTGTCAGAAAGTGCCATTTGGATAAACAGCTAAATCAGCAGCAAATGCAGTAGTGCAGTAAGGGACAGTTGTCACCTGAAAACAGGCAAAATTGATTCAGAGTATGGTTCTGTGTTGCACTTCATTTAGCTTAACTGGGGGCTGCTTCCACTAGAGGCTGTTTCACCAATTCTCTTGCACAGAATCCAGGGGTTGTGCAGTTTTATGATGCATTCCTTCCATTTGCTGAGCTGCTGAAAGGCTAATTTTGTTTTCTCATCTAGTTTGTCCTCCCCAGCAGTAGTGTCAAACTTGGGTTCTGCCTGTGTGAGCGCTAGGTCAGATGGCAGGGAAGGGTGAGAATGGGATCACATCTCCTAGCAGTAGCCTGCAGCCAGAAAAGATCAAACCCAGCACAAAATTGCACTTCAGTATTTAGGGACACCTGGGAAGCAACCAAAAAAGCATAGCCTTAGTTTTCCTTCACTTGCTGTGGTTCTTAATTTTTTTTTTTTTTCTTAATACATATATCAAATGTGTCAGCTAACAGAAGCTTTTCTCCATAATCCCATTTCTTGTCAAATGAGTGTCTTGATGGTTCTGCCTAGGAAGGCCCTTAAGGCAGTCAGTGCTTGCTTATCGTGGAAATATTTTGCCCGAGCTTAAATACAAATACCGATCTTGCAGTGAAATGAAACTTCCCAGATGGTTGTCAAACGCATAAATGACAAGCACTGCTCCTAGTGCCTCCCATTGTGCTTTTATTGATGTTTTTATTAATCAGTGGAGCAATAACTGGAGTCCAGGCTTCCTCGGTTATTTAAAGCATCATGGATGCCTTAACATTTTCTGTAAGATGTGGTATTTGCTGTGTTCCTTGATGTCATTATTCAGATGTTCCAGCACTTGTGGTGGTTGCATGTGCTCCATTAGCAGCTGTGGTTGGAGCTGCCTTGTATTTTGGGAGTGCCGTGGGACAGTAACACAGACTGGGGCATTTATAAGGAGCAATGACAACATCAACTGGCCGCGCTATGGAATCACATGTCCACAGGAATACAACTTTCTACCAGGAAGACATCATTCAATGCTGGCTATGTTATATATCAACTTAAATGTGAAGCCTCATGCTGTTCTTAGGGTAATGTCCACTATTACAAAAGGGCAGTTGACAGAGTCTGTGAATTTCTTTGATCTTGTCTAATTCAAGTTGACGAGTTTTAAAAAAGAAAAAGAGCAGAAATGTGCACATGCAGGAACTGGTCCATGGAAGAAGATGCTCTGCTACAGGGGCGTTTCTCCTTGGGAGAGACCAAGCAAAGGATAGTTTGCAGAATACCCAGCAGGAAGGCATTCAAATGCTTTCATAATTTTTGGCATGATATATTCTTGGCTTGAAGCCCTGCGGTTACGCTCCCTAACGAATGCTTACGCAATTGTTGTAAACCAATCTAAAGGCCTTGCTGCAGGGTCCTGCCTTCCCTCTCCTCCCGCCCTCTGCTGTGCCTTGCAGATGTGGCTGCACAGGAGGCTGCTCCTGCTTGCCCAGACACCAGGAACTAATTGTTGTTTTCTAAGGTTACATTATGTATGGACTCTGCGCACTGACCCAAATCACTACTCGCCTGCAAAGGCACTGAGTGATGTTGAGGCAAGAGGTGGGGAGGGAGCCAGGGCATCCTCTTTCACGGCAGCTGAAGCTGCTCCAGGAATCGTATCCTGTCTGTCCGGCTGCTCTGGTAGGGTTTCCTGCGGCGGCTGCTCTGTGAGCACTTCCATGGCAGCTGAAGCAATTCCTCTTCTGCCCCCCCCCACCCCTTCCGCCTCTCTGGGACAACTGCTTGGGCCCTTGTGTGTGACTTAGACTGAAGGGGACACGGCTACTACAACAAACCTTGCCCTTGGAAGAGGGCCCTGCAGGTCAGGGTGACAGCGGTTCCTGCCCACGTAGGCTGTTGTGATGTGGTGCTGGTGGGACTGTATTTGAAACCTTTAGTACTTCTAAGCGCACGTGCTTCCCTTTTCCCTTTCAGGTATAAGCCTTCTGCTCTTCAGTGCAGTTCTTAAACCGAAGGCGGCAGGAGGTTGCCGTGCTTGCCAGCAGGCCCTGGGCTAGGGGAGGGCTGCGGGGCAGTGCACGGCCCCAGCCCAACAGGCAGGGAGCGAGGGGTGTTGGTGCAGGACTGCTGCATACCTGGCCCTGCTCTTCAAATGCCCCACCTGGAACCACTGTTGGGGCTCTTCCCTCTTGTCCCCTGAAGCCTGGGGTATGTGCTTCATGGCTTTCAGCCAGAAGACCTCAGCAGAAGACTAGAAGGAAAAGGGTCAGCCATGCTGGCTCCTATCTCTTGTTCAGCAATGGAGTGCTGGGCAGTCTTCTACATCTCCCAGGTGTGCACTGAGGACTCAAGGAAAGGCATACTTGGATTCAAAGAGCCTACAGAGCATGGTTGTCTGGGCCAGGTGCAGTTTCAGGCCCCTGTTAAAGACCACCAAGTCTCTCCAAGCTTGAAGGCACCAGCCACAGCCATGGGAGCAGAGCAGCCTGTGGTAGCTGCTACTGAGAGTAAAAAAGAGAAATTAGGGGAAGTTGCCTCAGTTTTGTAGCTGGGTCCATTTGACTGTGCTGTACCACACAGGCAGGGTGTGGGGCGCTTCTGGCCCTGCTGGGGAGCCCAGCTCACCTGGCTCACTGTGGTTGAGTTTTGAGACCATGTTCTCATTTCCCCAAACCACAGCCCTGTACATATTTTGCTCTTTTTAGGGACTGACATCCTTCCTCAGTTTTCATAATCGCTTTGAAAGAGACACACAGCCTCGATTCTGTGAGTAAATTCCCTCCTGTGCAGTGGAAGCTCAGCAGGTGACAGCTTTCGCTTCCCATTCCACCTTTTGCAACACCTGGGTGGTTGTACCCCAGTGCTGCCTGCTTTCACAGCTGCTCGCTCTATCCCAATGTGCAAGTTCAAAACTGCTGCTGTTGGCCTTGATTGCGCAGTGGATGTTTGCTGTAGGGAACCCCAAACTGCACTGATCTCTCTGGTGTCTTTTCCCATAAAAATAGGTACAGCAAGTTGAATTCTCTTCGCTCCTGCATTACCTTTCTGTGTGAAGCGCAAGCGTTTGAGGGCAAATCTCTTTCTCGAGAGATGTTTAGCCCAAAAGAGCTGGGGAAGAGGTCACCTGAGGTTTACACTTCATGGCAGTCATGTGAAGGTGAACTCCACGCCTAAGCAGTCAGGCTGAAGTATTTGCTGCTGAAGGTAGTTCTGCATGTTCACTTCCTGGTGACTTTGCTTCATGGGCCACCAGATACAAAGCCAGTAGGTTGTTCCTCTTTTTCTCTGAAGTGCATGAAGACCTGCCCCAGGCTGGGCCAGAACAAGCCTTCACTGGGGCACATCTCCCATTCCACCAGCAAAGCCGAGCCACCTCCCAGAGCAGCCAAGTCACAGACACAGGCTCACTTGCTGCCATTGCCTCATGTATTGCCTACATTTAATACTGTGAACTATCCTTAAATGCAATTAAAGCAAAAAACAGGAAACAAAAATGAGGAAATGCCCGTATTTGCATCTACCACTAATGGCAGGTTTGTCCTTGCCTTTGGTGGGAGGCTGTGCAATTCTGTAGTTACGTGCTGGTTACTGCAGAACTCACCTCTCCCATTTTGCAGCGCAGATGATGGCCAGCAGGCCACTTAGCAGTGGGCTTCACTTTTCTGTCTGCCCAGGTCTATAAGGTGCCAAACACCAGACAGCTGATCCTGCTGGCCACAGGCCAGTGCGCAGGCAGGGGTCCCCAGCTGGACCAAACCCACCCCTGGTGACACAGAGCTGCTCCTCACAGCAGCAGCATTGTGGAGAGCCTCCCCCTCGTACCAGAGGCGATCGCCTTGGCAAAGCATCCCACCCGTCCCACCTCTGGCCACACTAGAGCAGCCCCATCGCCACTTGCAGTCCTTTAGAAAGCAGCATTTATATTGTCTTTTCTTGAGTTCTCTTTAAAAAAGGGTGGGAAGCACTTTTCAACCTCTTCAGTCTTAAGGGAAAAAGTGACTCGGATGCAGGTGATTCTGCAAGCGAGGGTCACTCACGAAGGCTGAAATCACAACTCCCTAACTTAGAAGCCAGAAGAGGGGGACAGGAGAGGATGAACCATGGGCAGAACTGAACCTAAAATCCCTCATGCTATCTGCCCTCAGCAGGCAGAACACTTACTTCAGCCTTAGCTCTGCTAACGCCTTAAGTGAAGAAGGCAAAGGCCCCAAGCAGCAGCTACAGCTTCTGCCTTTCCTGCTCTTGCCTTTCTCTCAGCACACAGGGGCACAAGCAGAAAACAAGCACCCAGCTCTCTCCGAACCAGCTGGATGCTCAGGGTCAGCCGGCAGAGGCACACAGCTCCGGACAGCCAGAGCTCGCTCTGCACCAGAGGCACCTGCGCGTCTCAAGATCTCCCCCTGCAGCAACAGAAGAAACCAGCAAGCACTGAGCTACAGGAAGCCCCAGGCCCCATCCTCCAGTCTTGCACTGGTTTGCTGGGTCACCCCTTCTTCCTGCTGCGCAAGGAGGTACCAGGCAGCGTCGGCTGCTTCCCCAAGAGGAGCATCCATCACACAGACCAGCCTTCCCATTTCCCCACGGACAACTGAGACCCCTTAGCTCTCCCTTCCTCCATTTCGAGATTCTGGAAGCTGGCTGCTAGACACCCTCAACAGCCTCCAGCATCAGCAGTAACTTTAACACGGAACAGCCTTGAAACTCCGTACCTCGCTGCTCGACTTTGCCCTGACACCCAATTACAGTAAATTGAGAAACTGGCGCTCGGTACAAGCTGCAAGTATTTGTGAAAAGTCATCTTACGGAGGTCTAAGCAGTGAATTTACTCAGCTCAGACTACTTGGTGTAGGGTCCAAAATCGTGTGTATTCATTAGATGCAGATT